GGAAGAGGGAACTCTGAGGGTGTGAAGCAGAAACAAGCTGTAACAATTAGTGTTTGCCTGGTGCAGAGTACAGAGAAGTGCCGTAGCAGAGAGAACTAAAATTATGTGTCCATTTATGAATGCAGAAGAATAGCTGTTGCTGCATTATTAGTATAATTTTGTGAAGGCCTATCCTATGCGACACACAGAAATGGCTGTAGTGGTCCAGACCAATGGATCAACCAGCTCCATACCCTGTGTGCTGCAGTGGCCATAGGCAGGTGCCCCAGGAGCAGCAAGGACAGGCTAAGCTTGTACAAGACTAAGCACTTTTCCAGCTTCCAGATATTGTCATCTCAGGAGATTTCCAAAGATGCTGTTGTTTGTATGTTTAGGGTGTGCCTACATTAGCATTTTAAATTGGAGCAGGAGTCTGTTTTGATGTGGAGCTTTGGCTTAGCAGAGCAGTCTTAGAGCACCCGGCTGGAGTCCTTCAAGACAAAACTAACCTGGAAGGTGTTCTCCAGGACAGCTCCTAATTCCTCCAGCCCCTCTTGAGGATGCTCAGGAGACTAGATCAGGCTGGACCTACGCTGAAATGACCTCCCAGAAACAGGCTGTGAAGCCTAGGGTCGTTGCCACCACTTGTTTGGTCCTGCAGACCCAACCTGCTAATGCAGGATAGCTGTAGCACCCCTGAATGCTTCTCTTCCAGGGATGTCTTCAGGCTGCTTTTGAACCCTTGTAATCTTTTCAGAGCCTAGCATCTTTGACAAAATGTGCCACAGGTCTCCTGTCTTTTATCTGAACTCCTCCTTCTTGTGTTCAAGCTGACTGCTGCCAGCTTTCTTTGGTGATCTTGCTTTAGTATTGGGACAGGCAATGGAGAGCTGATCCTTACCCCCTTTTCCGCTCATAATTTTGTGGAGGGCTGGGTTTTCTCTTGCACTTCCCTGTTGGTGATGGTCAAGAACAGGATAAAATTAAATTCAGTGCTTTAGAAACATAACGGCTAATATACAGTATGCCTGGTACCCTGAAGTCAGCTGGGGTTGAATAAATTAACTTCCTCCAATCAATGAATGTAGAATAATGGGTACAACGATCACGTGTTTTGTAGCTATATCGCTTGACTTCAGCAAGGTTTGTCCTGCCCTGACAGATAAAACTTTTCCCTTAACAATCTTGTAAGCAAACTGGGCTAAAGCAGTCTAGCAGAAACTACAGCAGAACGATATAAAGCTGTTTAGGAAACCATGTCCAGAGAGAAGTCAGTGAAAGCTCACTGTTAAAATAGAAGGATGGCTACAGCAGCATTCCTCAGTGTCTGCCTTGGGCCTAGCACCAGACCGCATTTTCATTAATCATTTAGATGACGGAACAGAATGTGTTTGCCTATTAAATATGTAGATGACACCATGCTGAGAGGGGCTGCAAGTTCTTTGGAGACAGGATGAGAACTCAAAAAATGGAGATGTGATCTGAATAGGAGCAGGTGTGAGGTATACATTTAGGCAGGAATGATGAACTGCACAAATGTGGGATGGGGAATGTTGGCAGCTCCTTCCAGGCTCTACCTTTCCCTGCGGACCGCTCTCAGTACTCCAAATATTAGTGGCACACCAAGTACCCTCAGCCGCTGTTGTTTTTCTTGCTCCAGAATTTGTCAGGGCTTGGGCTTGTCGAGGCTCCAGGCTCAGCTGGATACTGGATTCTTTCACTGGGTTTCCTTATGAGGACCTGAGAGCGATCATTGGACAGTGAGCTGGTAACTCAGCCCTGTACACGGGGGCTGCCCTGCCTGTCGAACAGCCTTAATCCAAAGCTTACATGCTATGGTTTGCCTTTGCGTACATGGAATAAGTTTCTTGCACACGATGTCACATTTCCCCCCATAGTCTACTGCCTTTCGTCACACTGTTCATAACAGGCTGGTCTCCTGAGCAGGCTCAGAAGCTCCAGGTATTTCCAATGTTGTATATTCAGTTCATGTGCAATATTTGGCCAGGTCTTTGAGAAATGACCAGTTAGGTGTCGCTTCCTCCTTGGAAGATGATCTAGGGATCCTGAAACTAACATTTATTGAAAATACTGCAGAAAATGCAAATTGTCTCCTGCCAGGTGGTGTCCAGGGGAGGGCAGTCTGAGGGACATGCAAAGTAAAGCTTTGGTTGACTTTGCCTTGGATTACTGTGTCCAGTTTGGAGAAACTGTAGAGACTGATAATCAGAACCTAGAAAAGAGGATCATCAGGGAAGGATTAACCTACCAGCAAAGGGGATCTGAGGACAGTCTTCAAATGCATGGTAATACAATGAAGGGAACAATTTTTTCCCCCGCTTTCACAGATTGAATTTACATTGCTGTAATGAATGCTGGAGTTGTATGTTCTGTTTCTAATGGCATGGCTGTTAAAGCAGCAGAGTAGATTTCCTGGAGAGATCCATAAGAGCAAGACAGACAAATCTCTCTTGGGAATGATGCAGGTACAGAGGTCCCAAGAAGGGTGGGCTAAGGTGTGCCCAGCCAGCCTTGAGGTCCTGAGGTAGGGTTGGGTGTCTTCCTACCAGGTGAGGGTGTGGCCCATCCAGACAGATGACTTACACCTTTGAAGGGGAGATGGAAATGAGCCTCCACACAAACTTGCAGCCCTATATTTGAAATTTTGAATGCAGTATACTCAAGTGAAGGTGGTTGCAAAAATGGAAAGCTGGATGGCTCTTACAAACAGACTTTCTTCCCTGCCCTCACCACACTCTGCTCTGCGCACTCATTTTTTTAGGTCTACTTGATTTTATTAGTCATGAAGTTTTGTTTATAGTTGCTCCACGCTATCTGTTCCCTATTTTATTTAGTATAATTACTACTACCCCAAGTTTAATACTTAAAATTTTTAGGCATGTCACATTTGTGAGAAGAATTAAAAAAACCTGGGATCTAAAGCCAAACTCCTAAAAGTATTGTCAGAAACCAAGAGTGACCTTAATTTAAATTAGTCAACAGGAAAGGCAATTTTTCGTTACATCTGAAGTTTAGTTCACATACGTAGAACATAATTGGCCAATGTACCTGTTGAAGAAATTCTGGTCTGTTTATTTTGCTGGGTTATAATTTATTCAATGGCTTTTGTGCATTGGTTTCTTTCTTTTATTTTTCTTTTTTATCAAGGATTTTAATAACAAAAATAATGTATAGCAGATAAACTCATTTAACTTTAAAAGGTTGGGAAAATTTGTACTAGTTGAGTTATGATTTGTTATTTATGTTTAAGTACAGTAGGTGAAAAAGCAATCAGCATTCAAAGTTTAAATAGTTTAAATAAATATTCTGAAGAGTACATTGTTATAGGAAAAAATACATACTATTGTAATGTAGATGATCTTCAACATGTAAACCTCTGTCTTTAGTTATGTAGACTGATGTGGCTGGATGATTTTTGTTGTTTGGCACATACACAGAATCACTCTTCCAGGGATGGGTCGAGTCTCTTGAAAGTTCTTTGTTTTACCTTGAGTTACATCTTAACTTGTTATTCTGCTTTGTTTAATGTGGTGTGAGATACTTAGGTAAAAGCATAATGTGAAATATATATCCTAGTTTCCATTAAGTGTAGATTTGAAGGCTGAACATGAGAATTTCAAGATCTTTTCATTCCGTACAAGCAACTGTTATTATTTTGAGTAGTTGCGAATATGTGGTGTTACACAGATGTCCAGTCTCCTCCTTAATCTAACCTTTGACCTTAACAGGATGTTTTTTTAGGAGAAAGAATCATTTGTGTGAGAATTATACCTGTCTGTTCAAACGGGAATACTATGCTGATTAAAAAGAAAATTAATATTGATACAAATATCCGCATCTACTGAACTCTAAAGAGTAGCTAATGTTAACTGAGAAGTAAAATTGATAAATACATCGTATGCTGAAAATTTCAGCTGCCTTCACAAAAAAAGGTATTTTTAGGGGAAAAAAAATAACAATAACCATCACAATAAAAGTCTTTTCTCTGTGAGCTTAAGATTGTGGATGTCTTGAAGAGAGATTTAAAAATGTGTTGTTGCACTTCTGAGGAGTGTGGTACTTCTAGTTAAATGAATTAGGAAGGATAATTTATGCTGGGGGTCTGCTTTGTTAATGTTCAAGCACTTCTCAGTTACTGAGTCTATGGATGTTCAGGATAGCAAAACATCTTCCAACTAGCACGTTTTTAGGAAAACTTTGTTGTTCGTACATGCATAAATCACCATTCTTTTTAACCCGTTCAACAACAGTAAATATTTTTGTAAAAAAATATTGCTGAAGCAAAACAATACCGTCTATAAAGAATTGTATCCTGTCTTGAAGGTACTCATTGGAAAAGTTCAATGTTGAGTAGGCCTTTGAAGAATACTATAAATTTTGTCTTCATAGTTGATGCTTATTTAAAACTTATTTATTGAACTTGTGAAAATAAGTGAAAATAAGTCCTGTGAAAATAAGGACTCTATTTTATGCCATATTTAGAAAGTATTCTATTCATCTGACTCAAATGTAGTAATCTAAAAGTAAAGTGTCTGCAACCATGCAATTTGGAAAAATTTTCAATTTCTATGGTTTTTTTTTCACACCTGGATGTTTTTTGCTTACAAGTCACCCTAATAGTTATCTTAAAGCATGTTTGAAATCTTAGAATTAAATTAATGTTCTTTAAAAAAAGCTGGTATCCCTTAAAATTGTTCATTTAGCATTTGGTCTTGTCTGTGAAGTGCTATGATCTTCTCTATGATTTGAAGGAATGAAGAATTTTTAATTACTCCTTTTTTATTTGTTTATTGAAATAATTTATTTCTGTTTTTACATATAACTTGAACTTGATTGAATTAATTTATGTGTCAGTATTGCCACTTACCATTGTAGATTTAATTATTTTAGTTAGAGCTCTTTAGTGAACATCCTGGTTTTAGTGTCACATGTAGCAAGCAGGTAAGTTGAACATTTTGAAATTTAAGCTGAAAGGTAAAAATGTCATTTCTTTACTACAGCAGAATACAGTACAATCCACAGTCCATCAACACCCATTAAAGATTCAGATTCAGATAGATTGCGTCGTAGTTCAGATGGGAAATCACGTGGACGTGGCAGAAGAAACAATAATCCTTCACCACCACCTGACTCTGATCTAGAGGTACATTATATTAGATGTCTTTGACTGTTACAGACTCTATTTTTATCCTTACTTTGCACAGAGGAGTATAATTTACGCGTCAAAAATAAAGTGGCATTGGAGCTCCCTTTCTTTTTTTCTAGCAGCATTTTTGTAGAAGATAGAAATTTTCTTCTAAAGAACCTTCTTCATGTAGAGTGCCTACTTTCTCTGAAAAATACTGGGGGTTTCTTCTTCTTTTGATTAAAAAAAAACAACAAAAAACCAACAGTCTTTTCCCAAGTCAAAGAAAGGTTTGCGTTTGGACAGGAGACACTTCTAGCACAATAGTGGTTTTTGTTCTCTCATGTTATGATCACATTCCTCCCAGTGGCCCATGCTTTATGTTGAGAACATATCTCCAATGACACACCACAGCTATGAGTGTCCACATTGCATTACTTTTCCTTTCCAAAAGCTGAGCCCATTTGTCATCATGGGAAATACAATCTCACCGGGATTTAAAATACTTGTATTTGAACACTTTATTCTTCATTAAAATATCATTTTGTGTGTGGTCAGAGGACAAATTTAAAACACATATTTTCCATTGGCTGTAAGTGAAATAATTATTTACTGATGCCATAAATTCTTACACATGCCGCATCTAAGTTCATAATTTTCATTCTTCAGGTGCCTAAAATCCATTAAAAATTAATGTAGATGAAGCGGATTTAAGTGCTTTGCAGCAATTTGCTTTATTTTGCTTTTAGAGGTAATTTTCAAAAACAGTTATATGAACTTTGTTTTGTAAGACGTGCAGAAATACAGAATTCAAAACCCAAAGATTTAATTTTCAGAGGCTTGTCTTCATTTATTTCAGTTTCTATCTCACATCTGGCTTTAAAATAATACATTGTACAATCTCATTTTCTGTGTGTATTTGACAATAACTATAATTTTATTCTAATAGAATAATTTGATATAATAGCAATTGTAGTAAAAAGCTAACAGATTGTATTACCCTATTCTGGAAAAAACTTGTTAGTTCTGAAAATAAATGGCAAGGAAACTATGGTTTTAATATATAACCATTTCAAGACAATTTTCTCATTTGTGCGCTTACTGATTCAAATTTTAACTTTCCATTTCAAGTATCAGCTTCTCAGAGGAACACATTGATTTGATTCTCTTTTTACAGAGAGTATTCATTTGGGATTTGGATGAGACAATCATCATTTTCCATTCCTTGCTTACAGGGTCCTATGCTAACAGATATGGAAGGGTAAGTGTCAAGAAAATGATGGAAATTTTCAGTTATATTTGCTGTTTCATGGTCGGTACACAAGGCAGACGAGAACATTAGTTGATTTTCTAGAGGCAAACCAGTGCTGGTGTTTCAAGACATAAAAATTCAAGGAGTAAAGTTGTTTCGCATGTCCATTCTTTGCACTTACTCAGCTCTTATATTCAGTAAATAATTAAATAGTGTTGGGAGTCGTGCTTTGACCACTTGAGGTTTGGTTTGTAGGTACAGAGTGTCTGAAACCTGTTGCTATCATCAAAATCTGCAAAGGTTTAGCTCCCCTCAGAGAGTGAAGAACTTCCAGGAATGATTGCTAAAATAACATTTTAGTTCTGAGTGATCAGCAGTGGACTGTGCTCAGTTTTGAGAAGGCAAGGGGAAGAACACTTTTGGACACAGACAGATTAGTCTAGAATTTTTTACCCTAACTTTTTTTTAATCTTCATATTGACTGATGTTTTTGAAAGTCTGCTTATGAGTCAAATCTTTCTATTATGCACAGTCTATAAATCATAACTGAACTGATTAATATGTCTACAGACTGTGGGTTTCCTCGGTAATTCTCAGAAGAGGAACGCGGTTTTAGGTGAATAAGAGCAGTTTATGAATGGAATACCCTTGTGAGATCAAACTTTATTTTTCCAGGATTGTATTTGAAAGCAAATGTCTCAGCTTGTGCTAAAATCTGTTACGCCATTTCATGCTCACCTCATGTGAGGTATAACTAGAATGTGACTTTTTGGTAACCTTAAAAAATTCTACATATAAAGAACAACCAGATAGTTTTGCCTGGCTTCATATAATCACTCTGTCTTCTTGTAAAGCTTATATTTATCACTAAAAGGTTTTACCCTACACCCGATTGAGTGAAAGGCAAAGCTACCACTGTGCCTGGGTCAGGTTCTGAATTCCTCCTAATAGCTTTGTGCATTATAAAAATCTAAAGCAGTACTGTTTTGCAACCTTTCTTGCTTATTCAGGTGTGGTGTATTTTCAGAAGTGTTTGCTGTAATAGCAGCTTACCTGTTTGAGGAATATACTTAGGTTTTTTCATTATGTGTCAGAAAAGCAAGTCAATTCAGCAGCCTTGGCTTCCTAGGTGTTACTAGCTTGTGTTTAGGTAGTAAGAAGACACTAGAACTTTAAATGTTTCAACAATTATTGTATGGATGCATGTAGACAACAGCTTTATAGAGTATTAAACATTTACCGAAAGTTATGTTCCATTTCTCAGGCCAAACCCAGCTTTTGCATGGCACCCCAAAATCACCCAATCTATGACAGTTCGGTTATGAGGAATTATTCAGAATGGGGAGAACAAATCCCAGCACTCACAAAAAAAACTCAGTGCCAACTCAGTGTCACCACTTGCTTTTGGGCAGCAGAGTAGTGCTGGAAAAGCATAATTAGTCACTGCCATTGCAGTACTTGTGCGAGCATATTTTTTCCATTTGTTACTAGTTCCCTGTAGTGGTTTCATTAACTGGGACCTGAACATAAACACCTTTCCTGCTGGATGCCTGAGGTTGAGGAAAGTGACTAGTATTGTGCAAAGAGATATAAATAGGTATGCTGCAGGGAGGTGGGTGATTCCTGATTGCAGCGCCATCACTGTTGGCACTATTTACTTGAGATGTACCTTTCGCCCGGCTGGCTCTGGTTGCATGGCATGTGGCAGAATACTTCTGCGTTGCTAAATGACAACCAAAAGTTAATATTAAGAGGGATGACGGCATTGGTGCTTATGCTGTCGATAAATCTTAGATCTTTTTGGTGAGGGCTACCAACGTGCCTGTCCTTGGCTCTCAGATGCAGTCATGAAAGTGTGCCATTCTTGCTTTGTTTTCTTAAAGTTTCATGCATATCACAATTTCTCTTGGCTTATTGACAGCTTCAGACAACAGTTAGCAATTTCCATGGACATTAGAGGAACGTAGTGTCAAATGTTCAAAGCAAACATGCTAAAACGTATTATCTGGCAGGTGAGAATTGTAGGGCTTCTTTGCAGCAATGGGAGGTGCATATTTTTTTGAAGAGTGTTTCCAAACTCTTTAAAATCAGAAATACAAATCATAAGTCAATCTAAAAAAAAAAAAAAATTGTTGAGGGGAATTTTTTGTTCTTTTCACTTGCATTCTGCTTTTTGAGCAATCTAATATCATGTTCTTACATGTTTCTGCACTGTGGTGAGGGCTAGAAATGCCCTTTTAAAAAAATAAGTCTAAGCTGCTCACATAATCATTAAAATACAAAAGCTGGCTCTTCAAACAAACAAAAATATCCTAATTAAATAATAGGGGATTTGGCAACTTGGCATTCAGCTCTTTTGATAATGCCTGAGTGAGTTTCATGGTGAATGACCATGAATGATGAGCAGCCCTGCTGCTGAAGGGGATTGATTTTCTTTTCCTTATTTTCTACCTCGTCCCTCATAACTTCTTGCTTGTGCCACCCTTTTCTGTATATTCTTACTTTCTCATCTGGTTTTATCACCTGCTCACCTTTTGCTGCTATTGTGCTCTGCTTTCTCCCTGCTTTTGTCCTTCAGCTTTGTTGGAACAAAATAATACCTTTGTTTTTCAGTTTGTGTAGTCATGGTGTAAATTGCTACATTTTTATTTAAGGGTGATTTGAATTTTTGTGAATTTCATGGAAATGTACAAAACTAGTATAGGAATATGATTTGCTCTTCCAGAAGAGAAGAAAAGGAAACAAAACAAATAAAAAATTTCTATTTGCTTTTGGAATTTTTTTTTAATATGTACAGAGAGAGATCTATTGATCAAATATAAAGTTATCCATTACTTTAATTGACATTAGGGCTTCTGACACCTCAAAACTTATGTTTTGAGCAGATGTCAACTGATTAAGTTTTGGAATTTGGAAAAAGTTGGAGCCTCTCTTTAGTATCTTGGAGCAGGTGGAAATACATCTCAGTATTGGCACTAGAATACTGTGGTCTTTAGGTACATTTCCATTCTCCGTGAAACCATTTATATTCCGAGTCTTTAAAGGAATTTTCCTTTAAATTATAAGCTATTTTAATGTGGTTTAATATATTTTAGAGATTGAGAAAAACAAAGCCTGGTTTCACTTAACCCTTCATTTGTGACCTGTAGGCTTAAGTGGAAAATAAGCCTTGTACCCAAAGTGAACTTTCCTGTTTTTCAGCTTCTTGTTTCTCCACAAAACAAAGAAATCAAGTGGGTAGAATTTAGAAATGACATACAGACAATGTTTTGGCTCCAATACCAGTATTCAAAACAAGAGGCCTTCTTAAGCAGTTTGACATTGGTATTTCTTTTCTTTAGCTAAACTGTACCTCCCTCAGAGATTTGTGCCCGATTTTGACCATACCTGAAAAGACACTCCACCTGAACCTGCAAATCCCAATCAACAAGAACAGATTGTTAGCTTTCCTCCTCATTGTGTGACACCTCACAATAATTAGTTAGCAATTAGTGGCTTAAAATTGCAAAAGGAGGTTCGGTATGGGATTATTTTTTTTAAAACCTTATTCTAGCCTTGTCTTCTTTTTGAAGTTTTCAGCCCCCACTGTAATGTCTGACATCAAAGTTTAATCTATTCCTGTGCCTTAAACCAAGGCTCTTGTGCTTTTTACTACAGCAGTTGCATGATTGCGACTACACAGGTATTTAAAACTCTAATGCAGATAAGGCTTTTGCTTCTGTTAAATATGTGGGTATCCAGAGCTGCAGCTTAACACCATTTTTAAGCTAAGAGGAACTTTCTATAGAAAAAGATTGTGTTTAATCAAGGAATTAAGTTATGGGTTTGTTTTTTTTTTTAAAGCAACCTGTTTTGTTTCTTCTCTTAGCTTTTATGGTATTTAGTCTGACATTTTCAGTAGGTGCCAATGATTTTCTTACTTGTTTTTCTCGTAATTAAATTACCCTAATAAATGACATTATTTTAATATTACTTTAGAGAAATCCCCATCCTGTTTTGTCTGCCATTTGAAAATACCTTGGAGTTAAATCGTTCACAGAAAGATATACAAAAAGCCATTTTTTCGGACTCAGAAGTGTGATAAAAAGATTAATAAAAATGTTCCATTTAAGTCCTGCGTACATTGAAACTTAAAATATATATTCACAGCCATTTGTTTAAAATTAATCATACGGGTTCATAACCAGCATCGTGTTCTGTCTGATGATTTATTCTGCTTTTCAAAATGATGTTCCTATTTATGGCTGGAAGCTCAGAATGGGATTAGTCCTACACTGTTACGTTAGCAGCTGATAATCAAGATGTAGCTAGTGATCTTCATTTGCATCTTAGATCCTTAGTCCATCTAACTCCTTTTAATAGCTAGAGCAGAGACTTCTCTGGTTTAACAAAAACAAAAAAAAAAG